GCAATTACTTGACTTATGAGTCAAGTTCTGAGAATTTTAGTTTTTTCGATCGTTTCTGAGTTTTTTGACTTCCTACGTTTTCTCGTACTATTAATTATGCCAACGACAAGCCGCAAGCGAAGTTCCGATCGTCAATTCATAAGCAAACGATGGTCAACAGGAACTTTCTCTAGTCTTCCAGTGGTTCTTCCTCTATTTTAACTTCGGGGATTTTTTGGGTGCTAGTGGGTGTTCTCACGTTTTATAAATATCCCTCAGATTTGAATACAAATTGTCTCGCGCTGGTTTTCTTTATTAATTTTCCATAATTTTGACGTAAATATAAATACACTAAGCATGCATTACCATATATAAAGCGTTTTGGAAGTAATGTATCATCATATAATTGTTGAAGACAATCCAATAATTTGAACCCGTGCCAGAGGCAAATAAATACTTGTCCTGAACGGAAAAATTTGTCGAAAGCCTACACAGTACCACATGGACTACACGTATATATAATTTCACTGAACGTTTTTTCAACAAAACGGTCAGTTCTATTGTCGATCATCCATCATTTTTACGCGCGATGAACACCATTGATCCAAGATTTTCTGTTTTGTCTCGACGTGTACTTTGTCGTGAAACATTACCAACGGCTCTTGAACAAGTCATGGTGAAAGTGCAACAAGCCTGTAGTGACGCGAAGTTTGTCGCGCTTACACTTGACGTGTGATCTGACCGTAGAATGCGCGCGTTCATTGCAATCACTATGCACACTATTGCGGAAAACGATGGAACCTTTCAAAACTATCTGCTTACTTTTCAACCTCTGTCAGGTGAGTTACTGAGTAGTACTATATATAACTCATTAAAAGTTTGCATTTCAGGTCCACATACAGGTGACAATTTACGTCGTCAACTCGAAGACGCTACTGCAACTTTCAATATCGAAGAAAAGGTGGTTCGGATAGTCACGGACAAGGCGTCAAACAACCTGAAGGCATTCGAACAGCTTGTAATACCGGGTTTTGAGGTTTATTTCGAGGCGGAAGACGATGATGATGAAACGGATGCAGCCGATTGTGAAGGAAATGATGAACAAAACCACATGAATGATGAAGAAGAACGTCTCCGTATGCCGTGCTTCTGCCACACTCTTCAACTTACAGTTGGTGATGGTTTAAAAGAATGTGACAATGCAAAACCGGCTCTTGCTAAAGTTGCAGCGATCGCAAAACTCAGGTGAGATACTTATTAAAACTTATGAGCAGTGGAAAATTTCTGTGAATCAACGTTATTTGCAGAGAATCTGCAACGGGAGAACATCAGTGTTCCATTAGCTGTCAAGACACGTTGGAACTCACAACATCATACAATATGCAAAGTTCCTGAAATCTCGCACACGTTGCTAAACGATCTCCTACGCAATGTTGGCCGCGCTGATCTTGTTCTGACCACTCGTGACATTATCATACTTCAAGAATTTGCCAGTATTTTCGCATTATTTGCCGAAGCCACGACGCGTACACAAATCGAAAAATCTGCCTCAATTTCATTAGTCGCACCAAGTATTCTCTCGATTTACTTTGATCTCGAACACGAACAGACTAACTGCAAATATCTTGGATCACTATGTCGTACAGTTCTCAATTCTCTACGCCAGCGTTTCGGCGGATTACTTGAACGGTGCGAAGTTTTCGATGATAATATTATGAAAATGAAGAAACGTTCCACGTACGATCTTTACAAAGACGATCTTTATTTGATTGCTCCTTTTTTGGATGGTCGTTTCAAGCTAAAATGGGTGCTTGCGTTAGATTTATCCGAATCGGTGAAGGAACAAATCACAAACATGATCAAAATGCTGGTTCTTAAAGCGGCATTGCAGTTGTCTAGTATAACAAATAATTCTTCGGAATGCATCATCGAATCGTCTGTTGCTGATCGCCGCACAACTGATGATGACACAATAAGCAACCTGCCAAGTTTCAAACGCAAACGACTGTTTTCTCGTTACGAAGGACAAAAAGCTCCGACGAAGAAGAAACGATCATGCGTCTCTGAATCAATTGAAGTTCAAATCTTGATGTTCGAAAAGGAGCATAGCGATGATACTCGTCTAGTGTTTTTCAAGAAGGATTCTTATCCATACTTGCACACCGACTTGCGACAAGAGTACTTTGTATACCGGCTACTTCAGCTCCAGTTGAACGCGTCTTTTCTTCAAGTGGCATACTCATGCGTACTCATCGTAGTCGACTCTCTAAGAGTATGCTCTCAATGCTAACTTTACTAAAATGCAATCGGCACTTGCTATAGTTCATTAGTCTTTTTTGTCAATATAAATAATCTTCATATTATAATCAAGCTAACTTACGTATATTGTCAATTAGTTTGTTCTTTTCTTATTCTATAATATATATATCTTGAATTAAAGTGTAAAATTCACGGAAGATCATCAAACTTTAAAAAAATAGGAAAAAAACTTTTTTTGTCATCGCGGAGTCGGAGCGGAGTCAGATCGGAGCGCTTCGTAAGGACGGTCGAGCTGGAGCGGAGTCGGAGCGAGTGTTTTTCAGTGAGACTGGAGCTTGGAGCGGAGTCGAGCGGTTCGTAATTAGCTGGAGCTGGAGCCAGAAATGGTCGGAGCGGCCCATCTCACGTTCAATCGCCGGTATGTAAAACAAAGTGTCACATGTTCGCTTCTAACCTATTTCTCTGTCTTTGTTTAATTTAGACTAATCCCGATGTCGTCAGTATATAGCTTGGCAGACTAGTCAACGATACTA